CTTCAGACTTAAGGATTGAATGAAAGTGTGCATTGTGCACACGATCAGATATTAATAGTCTGACAATCTGAAATATGTTACAGCTATGACAGTGAATACAACTCATCTGTGGCTTTGAGCAAATAATTCATTTGTGGCAGTTCAAGATGCTGTGAATTAAAAATGTGGAAAAAGTAAACCCAGACATGAAAATCTAATCCAACAGTAGAGTAAGTTATACCTGGATAAAAGGGGGTTAAATTTGCTAGACCTTTGTTGTGTTTGCTTCTTCTCCTCTTCCCATTTTCAAATGCACAGTTTGTTTATCTAACAGCTATGTTCATGCGATTTGCTTCAGGTTTGTGCCTTGGGCATCATCTCTCCATTTGTGAATTCATCACACAGACGTATTGATGTCCTAGTTGATAGTAACAGTTGATTTTTCAATTGTAATGCTGAAAAAAATGGAACTAGAAACAGTTTTCCAGGGAAAACTGGAACTAGAACCAAGAACTTGTTTTAAATAAGGACAAAATTAATTCATATTAAATGATGTCCTGTGAATAGTTGTAATTCAGTGGGTGTAACTGTCCAAATAGGTACACAGTTTCCATGCCAAAATATAATTTGAGATAACTGCAAGAATTAAAAGGAGAACAGGTCACAGAAGTTAATTCTAGCAGCCACTTTTCAACGACATTATGAATTGACAACTTCAGAAGGCTATTTCTAACTAGAGGATTTCCCTCTTTGCACTGAAAAAGCAAACAGAAGACTTCAGTCACCTGAGAGAGACACTGTTCTTGAGCTTGTACTTTACCACAGTCCACAATGTAGACCTTTATTTGAAAAGCTTTTTTTTCGTGTTTGCAAAGGTAATCACAGAAGTGTGAACTGAGTATAAACCAGTATGCAGTAGTGTCTGCATCAGTGTGAAGACAGACCTAAGCAATAACTCTTGAGACAACTACAGGAGCTCTTTATTTAGGAATACTGTATGATCTTCAGCTGCAAACTAGTTATGATAACTTAAATACTCCATAACTTCTTAACTGTTTTTTACCGCATGCAAGACAAACAAGTACGGGTGTGTCAGAGTGGTTTGTTATGAATGACATTTCATGTAACAGGTCTTGGGTGAGTGCGAGACTGCTTTTCACAAACTGTGTACAAATTTAGCCAACTTAGGAAAAACACTAAAGTTTTAATAAAATTTCTTTCATGTCAGTTCCAGTCACAAGTTATGCAAAAGAGAGGACCTTATTTCACATCTGAAAGAGAGGTAGGATTGTTGAAGAAGAATTATGTATGTAAAAGTCCCTGTAGGTTTATGCTTACCTACAACTGAGGTTAGTTAAAACATGTAATACAAGAAAGTTTTAATATGGGGGGAGAAGTTAGTTTCTTAGACATGGCACACCAAACTCTGTCTTGTGTATGCTTATCCTTCTTGAATTGTCTTGTTTGCCAAGCAGTGACACCTGAACAGTTAGTGCAATATGCCTTACTTGACATTACTGCAACATTTTAAAACAAGTATTAAGTTACAAATTTGAAAACAGACATAAAGTACTTGGAAAAGGAAAACAATAGATGTCAGAGATTACAGTAGCAAGAGCAGTATAAATCATAAGGTGCAGTCAGAAGATACTTGGGGAAATACAACAATATGCAATAAAATTGTTAAGAGGCAGCACGTAACTAGCTTATATTTTCATTTGAAATCTAATGTGCAGTCTGAGTCTGAAATGTTGGAACCACAAGAATTTATACTTAGCGAAGTAATGAGTTTTCCCTTTACTTTCTTCAGAGGTTTTATTTTACTGTCTAGAGGCTGCAGAGCTCAGTTTCATTATATTGTGTCTGCACTCAGTTTTACATCTAGGATAGATATGGAACAATGGCTACCATTTAAGAAGACATCAAAAAAGTAAAATGAAGTAGAAATGTGGATACTGGATGGGGGAGCATCATAAACCACTTCCACTGATATCGTAAGTGAACTCCCCATGGCTTTCAACAAGGGCAGGATTTCACCCTCAGTTTGGATGAAGTGGGGTGTTGTACTGCACTGCTGTTTTGTATTGCACAGGCTAAAACATGGTTTACATGAGAATGGGGTAGATATATATTCTTTGTCTTATAACTCAGCAAGGAAAAGTTTTGTTTATTTGGACCACATGCTCAAGAACTAAGCTGGAGTCCATGTGAGGCATTGCATTCCTGTTGACCTAGGATCATTAGGGAACAGTAGAAAGTGATATATTGGCATAAGTCACTCTGGTCTCCAGCTGTGTCCTTGTAATTAATTTGAGTCTGGCTTTGGAGACAGAGCTGGTTTTGGAAGCTGATGACACAGACTGTTTTAATCCATAAACTCTCTGAAATAATCTCAGTTTTTAATAAAAGTTGGTAATTCTGGTAAAGAATTCTCAGTTGTTTTTGTAATTTGTTACCACATCATGTGAGCTAAGGCTCCTAAGATGGCCCTGTGCTCACAGGTCAGTGATTCCACCAGAGCTACCAGGTGCAACAGAGAGGTGAAGGTAGTTGTGTGGACAGCTGGGCTGCCAGGGCAGGAGAGTGGGATTGCCTCAGCAGCAGACTCCCCAGAAGCATCCTGAAAATCTAGTCCAACATGCCAAGTTGGTCTTACTGACAAGAGTTTTGGTGTTTTAGAGAAAAGTTTATCACAAGGCTCACCTATATTTCTGGCAGTTTTCCACACCAATGCTTTGAACTGTGTCGCAGCTTCCTTAACTATAACAGAGCGTGTTTTATTGCAGCAATGAAATGTCTCAACTTGAACTCTGTCCAACTTGCAGTCAGATAAGTGAGGATACTAGCCACTATGGGGAATGCTTTTTAGGCAGCTCTTCTGAAGTTATCTTAGTTAAAATTGTAATTTGGTTCTAAGGCAGGTGGAGTCAGATTTCTGGTCACTAAGACAACTAGTTTTAGAGGCTAGCAGGCCTTTTAAATAGTCTCCAGATAAAAGCCACTGCTATGGTAGATCTCAAAGCAAGTGGACTTAATGACATATACTTGCTGTACTATGAAGTTTTAATATGTGTACTTGATGAAAGACCTGTAATTATTGAGTTATCCACTTATGATACATTGATTATATAAGCATGCAGGCAGATGCTCAGTAAACTTTTATGCCACATTATTATCTAGAAATTATCTGGTTTATATTTTGCCACATCTTATTTTCATTTCAAATACACATAACAAGGGAGATCTATCTAACTGTTAGGTTTGCCCTAATGAATAAAATTTAATGTAGCATATCCGTTATTTAGGGAAATGCTATTATTTGTGAAAGTATTGTCATTCCTTTGAATCTGTGTTGCTTTCTTATTCTGAAGCTACTTAAACAGCTCACAATTATTTCTGTTACTAAACCTCTAGTAGTAACTTCTAAGCTTATGCAACTAGGAATATGAAGACATCATAGATACCACCTGATTTCTTTAAAATCTTGGGATTCCATGAATCTTCTGTCCCCACCTATGCTCCAACACCCCCTCAAATATACAATTATGTTTGTCAAACTAGCTGTATGTTTGAGAGGGTGATTTTTTTTCATTTAAAGGGGTAGTTTGTTGGCCACTTCTCATCAGTGTACATTTTTGTTGTTATTTTTCATTGTAAGGCTTGTGATTTTAAAGAGCCTGCTAGCTGCCCAATGTTCTTATGATTTAAGATTGCTCTCCATTTGCACTAACATTTTCTAGTGTTTTCTTCTAGCTTAGCTTTCAATGTCCTAAAGAGCAAGACTCTCTCTGGGGGCACTTACAAACTCTGGTAGATCATACTGCAAGGAAGTTTCTCCTGCTATTAATTTTAAATTTACTCCTTCTCTGATTCATTCCATTACCCCGAGTTTATACTTCCTGTGCTTTCCAAATAATTCCTTAATATTCTGCATGTTTATACTCTGCACATACTCGCAGTAATTGCCTCAGCCCAGTTATTATTTCATTACCATAGTCATACTTACCTCTTTTAAACTACCCTTATATCAGTTCCTTTATCAGCCCATTTCTTTACTCTTTAGTTATCTCAGATTCGACAAGATCCTTCTGATAACAGGATTCCCAGTATTTTTTACTTTATATGGCTGTGTTTTAAAATAGATGTGATTCACAGAACACACAATCAATTTAAAACAAAAGTTAGCACCCACTGTTGCAAAAATATTTACTACTTGCTAGTTTTTACTGCAAGTTATTTACCATTGGAGTCATGCATTACAGTCATGCAGAATTTCTGGGACATGTTTAAGCATTGAATAAACACACATATTTACCAGTGAACATTACTAAATGCAGATGTGCTGATATGCAGAAAGTAGCATGTTACTTTGATGATCTGTACCATAAGGTCATATGCAGACTACCTCTTGTATTTATGAAAGAGGTGTCTTTATTATGCTCTTAACTCTGTGTTTTTGGGAGGTGGTTTTTGGCCAGATGTTATGATATACACATTATAGAGCATCTTATCCTAACCCTCTCCCCTCTTCCTCAAATGTGCATTATTAGTTAGCCTTCCAGTATGCGTAATCTCTGTGGACAGTTGTGGCCGAGTCTTGGTTATGCTCCAAGCCAGAGTAGAATGGCATGTGAAAACAGAGGTTTGGCATCATTCATTTGCTCTTAATACTTGGTACATTAGGGCCTATGCCTGGTCAGTTTAATCCTGCTGTCATGGGATTTACTGTGGTTCACAGCCACTGTGTGAACAGCAAGTATACTCTGAAACAATCTGATGCATGCTACAACCAGAAAGGAAGAAACCTTATCAAAAAATACTGCTACTTAAGCATATATTACCTATCTGAGGAAGGATCTGCCTGCAGAAAATACCACATAGAAATTTGTAGCTTTGTTAGCACATTGCAGCTTGCAGATACTATGATGATGGGCATTCTGGAAAACCCTAAGATAGGTGGGTAGGTTCCTTAAAAGCAATCTGTATGTTTCACAAGGCATTCTTTTGGTTTTGTTTTGTAGCCTAACAGCAGTGGTCAAGTAGTAGGG